CACCTGAGACTATTATAGTCTAATCTAAGCCGTTTTGAGTTTATATAAACTCAAAACGGCTAATGTCACGCGAGTTAAATAATCGCAATTATATTTTAAATTCATGGATGCAAAATAATAAAATTCATGATTATTACATTAAATAATGAAGAAATTTTACTTTAACTGGTCTTTAACCAGTCTTTTAAACCAGTGGTCTTGGACCGAAACCGAACCGAACTAGTAAAACCCTAGTCTTATCTCAACACATGATAGTTGTATAGATCTTAAATCGAAGCAGCAAGAGCTTTTTATCATTATCTTTAGTGTTTGTTGCAGTATGTATGTCAAATACAATTAACATAAAATTTATGTTCTGCAAATTTGCTGGCAGAAACTAGTGTTGGTTTCCAAAACTAGAGCTTTGCAACCATGCGAAAGTCAAAAGGTTTCGCCATAAGTCGAAACTAATTTTGATTTTTGACTATTGACTTTTGATTTAGCAGTATTGACATATAGCTTTGAATTTTAGTTTTGACTTTCGCCTCTTCAAAATAGTTTTGGCGACCAACACTAGTTGAAACATTGTAATTTTTGCAATATTGCGAGCATTCTAAAAGACTCTTCCACCTATCTGACTGGACAAGATTTATATGTTTTACTATCTGTGTTGTTGAAGAATTATTAAAAAACCAGTTGAACAAAAGAATTATATTCTTAACAATAAAGGGGTGAAAACTAATAAATTGGCTAATTTTTGTGTACTGTAACATATACACAACTATGACAACATAGCAAAGTAAAGACCTACTAAATTTAAACAAAGTATAGAACTCAAGAACTCTATATTTTTAAATAAGTGTTGAATTATTAAAATAGTAGTAGTGTGTCCAAATTAGTGCACATGTTATTCAGAAAAGAATAAACCAATATTAATAATGATTGGTGGAGAAACTTGATCAAATGTATTTCTGAGGATTTGCAAAAAAGAATGTTTTCCATTACCACTGATCATTTTTGCAAAACAATTAAAGCTCCCATTGATTAGGATAATCCCCAAGCATCTATCTACCAAGAAACAAAATTGATAGACTTTTGAAAAAAGAAACTGTTGGAGGTAAAAGGGGTGCGACCATTGGACTAACTTTTCATGATAATGCTACTGAACCAAAAAAGCCAGCAGATTTTATATTAGTTGAAGGGTTCATTGGATCTGAAAAGCTTTACGAATGATGATGTTAGGATTTATACATGTTGTCAAAATTAATTCAGCTTTGACTCAATTCTCAAAACCTCAATTTTTAATTGTGTCAGACACAATTATTTGTTTTTCATATGACTGCATCAAAAAGTCACCTGATTGAGTCAAGTGATCAACTTATTTCTACCACATGTATGTATAGTTAGTATAGCTAGAAAATCAAAGCACCATAGGGAGGACCACTAGGGTCTGAAACTTACCCATGAAGAGAGAATAAATTATTTCTTTGATGTAATGAATAAATGGATCAAATGAATAAGACTAGACCATGTTATTCTACATAGGAAGAAATATGCTGACTTAATTAATTATTGATAATAATAGCTCTGAAAATAAACCTGATAATATTGCAAAGAAAATAAATAATTTATATTTAAAGATAAAAATGGGTTAAAATATTTGGTACAGTTGTGATGTTAACCAAGAAAACTCATGACCAGCAAACTAAGCGCATCTGATCATATTAAGGCGAACTTCGAAAGCTGATTGATTGTGTATTTTTTCTGTTTAGGTAATGATTTACAAAGCCTAATTAAAAATGTATTAGTCCTTATGGTGACATTTTTTCAGTCTGATTTTCCTTTTTTGGATTTAAATTTAATTCGCTACTAACCGAATTATAGTGTTGCGGCCACCTTCGCTCTCCTTAAAAGTACTTTCGAATTGTAGTGTTGGCGGTAACATTCAATAAAGTTTTCCCGGCCCTTAAAACAATGTTATGCGACTATTCTATTTATGAATATGCTTATTAAACTATAGTTATTTTTATTTTAGTAAAAAGCCGATATATCGGTCTCGTGGTGTAATGGTTATCACTCAGGACTTTGAATCCTGCGATCCGAGTTCGATTCTCGGCGAGACCTTGCAACTTTTTAAAATTTGATTTTTAATATAATCAATGGAAAGAAAACTTTTTTTTTTTTTAAAAAAAAAAATAAATATAATTAAGAAAAAAGATAATTGTGCATTTTTATTCTTATTTAAATCCATTTATAATAATAATATATAGTAAAATATTAAATATACAAAGTAATAAAATAAAATAAAAATACAAAAAAAATAATGAAATAACATCTAAGGGGGAAAAATTTTTATTTGTCAATAATTGTTTTATTATTAGATTTAAATAATAATAGATTATTTTCTTGTCTAATATAATTATTATTTATAATGTTCTTATATGATTTTTTAATTGTAATAAATAAAAATTATCACATTAATCAATTATTCAATCAATCCATTTATTACCATAAAAATCTCCAATATATAACTATTCCAAATATAAAAATTATAAATGCCAAAGGTCCATATTTACGGTAAAGAAGTTGTAGATGAAGATCTCTTGCAGATTTTTTATATTTTTGAGACTCGTAACGAAGTTGATCAGATAAAGAACTCATTTCTATGCATCCACAAAATTAAATAATTATAATTGTCATAATGATGGTAATAATAATACTATAATGATAACGATAAAGTGGTGATAATAAAATGGTAATAAAAATTATAATTACTTTCTAGCCCTTCGCCTCTCCATAAAACATTTTCCAAATTTTTAGTCATTATATTAGCTACTTCATTTAATTCTGTATTTAATCGATCAAGGTTATGTTGTGTTCTAGTGTTTTGGTACACTTTTTTAGTTTTTTGCATAAAAGTATCTATTAAACAAAAAAAAACAAACAATGTAATGAATATAATTATATAAGCGTAAGCATAACATCTATAATACATATATATAATATAATAACATAATTACCAAATTTAACAAATGCATAAGGTCTCAAAGTTCGTTTCTCAACTTCGTTTCCATAACTCATCAAAAACTCTTTCGCAAGTTCTTCCAAATAACTAAACGCAAACTGACGTGGATATGACCTTTCACAAATTGTCATATAACAAACTCCATTTTGAATAAGATAACTTATTTTTTTTTTGATAAAAACAAATATATTAATATGAATTATATAATTGTTTAGTTATAATAAGTAGCGATGAGTAATTTGATTTCTTACTGGAAAACATAATTTCCTGATTCAATTGAACATCGTTCTTCAGAATTTTCATTCATTTTCTTAAACAGAAGTTTGGCTTTATTTTTATAATCTGCAAGTTCTGCTTCATTAGACTAATAGAAAAATATCATTATATATTGAAATCCTATAAATAAAATGCTAGATCTAAATAAAACTTCACATTCAAATACCTGATCATCGTCAACTGAGGCTGCTAACGGAAGGCCTTTTTAAACAATTTACGATTATTAATTAAAAAAATTGGTCATTTTTATTGGAAGGAAGTAGTAATAATTAGTAAACAAAATAAAAAATAGGTACCATCAGAGATTCTAGCTATTACTGTGTGTTTAACCATTTCTTTCTGTTGAAATATATGTATGTATTATTCATTCATACATAGGAAAATAAAAAATAAATCCTTTTTATATTTATTGGAAAAATAATTGGCTTAATATGATTGGTTGAGGTTTTTATATCATTGAATTCATATGATGATCTACATCAAATAACGCGAGTTAAAATTAAAAAAATTTCCAAGTTGAAATTGAAATAAAAATTTTTTTTTTTTTAAAGAATTTCGTTTAAAAAACGCTTGCGAAAATCTTTTTTTTTTTGAAAATGAAAACACTTCAAAAATATTTAAGTCTATTATATTAACCTTTATATTAGTAATTTATATATAGAAATAACTTGTATATATAACAAGTGGTTTCTTATTGGCCCTGAATAAATATGGAAAAACAACGCTCAGATCCATGAATTTCATTCTTCATAGGTTGTTATCTTGTTGATAATTGGCAACCAAAATTAATCATCCTAGAATAATTACATCTCAAGCAAAATTCTTACCGAAGAATTGATAGAGGCTTCGATCATATTTAAAACAATTAAGGTATTGTAGTTATTGGGGCAAATCTTGATTTACAAATACTATTTGAAAAATTCAACATTAAGTTGTTTCTAATAAGATATAATTTATTAAAAAAAAATAAATTGAATTAGATGATTATTATGGATCCCAACCATATATAAAAAAGATAAATCAATTAACAGGCAAAATAACTCACTTGTAATTTATTTTAAAAAAAAGCATATGCGAGAAATTTGAATCCAACAAATTAAAGAATCAGATAATATATATAATTTAGAAAAATTATATGATTGATTTCTTGCTGAATAACGCAATACTAACAAAATAAATTTGCTACCTTCAATAATTTCCCCGCTTTGAATGCCTGCTGGGAACTCATTATGAATCAATCGATAATCTCAACGGTTTTTTATTATACTGCTTTTGTTGTTTGACGTCGTCTCCACCTATCCCTGTTGGAAATTTGAAGGTTGCAAGGGTGATATTAGCAGTAGCGGTAACAACGTCGTCGTCGTTATCAATGATATGTCTGGTGGATATATATTAAAAAGTACAGTATAATAAAGGAATCGGTTGAAAATTGCACCTTAGTTTAGTCACTTTTTTTTTTATAATTTTGTCTTATTGTCTTCCGTATTATTATTTATTGTTGCTATTTTTAAAATTCGCTAAAACCACAACTATTCAAAATGGTGTTACATCTTTACTTCAAGGCTAAGGCTATATATATTTCAATTTTAAAAAAGTGACAGAGAATCTTTGGGGACATGCCACATTAACATTAATATTAACAATGTAAAACTCGAGACTTTTCTAGATCCCTCCCCCAACATCTCAGCTAATATATGACACGCCCCTTAAAATCTACAAAATGGCTCAAGTTTTTTCATCTGCTTTCATGTGAGTACTTAGATTGTGGCTGAGATCTTCAGATCAAAAATTAGTATTAACCCTGAGATGTATTAATGATCAGCCCCAAAATTCTGTGTCTGCACAAAAAAATGGAAGAAGATATATATATAAAATTAATTTACGAGGAACTCTGATGGGTCCCCGAACAACTAAATATCGGGAAATTTTATCCCAGTTAAGGAATAACTTCGATTTTGAAGGACATTTCTGCCCAAAATTGAAATATACCACCTTTTAAGATTGTTTGGGGTCCCCTCTGATCACACGATCTCACACTATCACATTGACGTTGAACAAATGGTGCATGCGTCAAAATACGATTTTGAGAAGGATCTGCATTTCTATTATTATTTTTTAACCTTTTTAATGGAAAATAAAGTCAACTAAAATTAATTTTCGTCGTGATGAATTGTATATATAAATGTTGTCAATTCAAAACCACGATCTTTGTAATTTCTATTGTCAATCTCTTGTTTACTATTTTTTAAAAAAACACTAGTAGAAAATTTTATTAAGTGGGGCATAGTTTCTAAAATTATTCCTTGTGACAAGTTACGTACAATAGAAACGGACCATGTTGTGAAAATGATGTTTTGAGAAAATTTAAAAAAAAGATCTGCATTTACTATTACTATTGTTTTTAAAACTTTAATGGAGGGTATCTCAAAGTTTTATTAAGCAAAGTGGGTATGGTTTCTAAGCCAAAAATATTCTACATGAGGAACTACATATAATAGTGATACTAACTCAAGATTGCTTTTTTCACAACATGGTCCGTTTCTATTGTCCACACCCCATATGTGGTGTCAACTCAAAATTATGATTTTTGACGTTGACCCCTTTCTATTTCCCATGCCCCAAATTTCAATATATAAGCCTAGCCAGATATGGTTAACTTGTTGCATAGCACTAATACGATAGTAGTAATAAAACCAGACAGGATTCCAGGGCATCGTTTTTAATTCCAGTGTATAAACCGGTTATTGAATCACATAATAATAATTGTAAATACTAAAAAAATTTGTGATACCATTAAGGTTGTAAAAGATAAAAGCTAACAATTCTATTATTATATAAATTTTTTGAACGACAAAGAAAAAATTTTTTTCATACAAAATGCATAAATATAGTTAGATATATATATATTAATATATATAGTGTATATAAAAGAAAACAATTAACAAATTCGTTCTCATAATCTTATTTTTAACTTTTCTCCATCCTCGAAAAGAATTTCAAAAAGCTCTTGCCATTAACAATAAAATACTTGCAATTTAGCATTTTCTCCAACCACTGAGATAATAAAAATATTTTATAATGTACGTATTATTATTATAACTATATATTTGGAATAAAGTTTTAAGAAAACAAACATTTTTGAAATTTGAACAATCAATAAATATTAATTAGTTTCAGTTTGAACCGGAAAAGAATTGTTCATTGACCTAATCACCATCATCATTTAATGACATTAATAATCTTTTTTTCAATAGGTCTGAACCATATGATCCATATGTACCTAAGGAGGGCGCCGCTGGCGGTCCACCTTCAAAAACTGTAGAAATTCAAAAGAAAATTGACGAGACAGTAGGAATTATGCGCGACAACATTAAAACTGTTTCTGACAGAGGAGAGAAATTAGATGTTTTGCAAAATAAGAGTGGTAAGAATTTATAAGAAACTGCTAAATAATTTAAATGACTACTAGTAATATCTTCTCACTATATTTCTTTTGTAAAATAGAAAATTTGTCAGTATCAGCACAAGGATTTCGTCGTGGAGCAAATAAAGTACGGAAACAAATGTGGTGGAAAGATATGAAAATGAGAATTATTATTGCTATCACTATAATCATTTTATTGTTGGTTATTATTTGTAAGTAATATCAATTATATTATATTGGAGAAAAATATAAGAAACATATTTTATTAACTGGCTTAATCAATCAAATTTTTTTGTAGTGCCAATTGTTCTAAAAAGCAAATAAAAAATGAATTCGTTTCATTCAACTATAACTTCCTTCCTTCGCTTTCTTCAAATTTTCATTCATCATTTCATCATTTTCTTGTCTTCTGATAATTTAATGATATTAATTTTATGCATAAAAAATATTCACTAATAATAATTAATTAAAGTAGAATTTATTGTTTATTATCATTGATTATTTTTATAATTTATAATTTAATTTTTTAAACATTAATATAATTTTTTCTTCTAAAAGAATAATATAGTATCCCATATATTATTAATATTTAATATTATTAATACGCTAATTGTATATGTTCATTTATTATTATGTTTATTATAGTTTTTATCGTGGTAAAAACAAATCATGGGTAATTTGTATAATAAAGTAATAAACAATTTAACCTTTCCCAGATGATGATAAAACATATCCTCTATTTTTAAAGGATGACCTGCATCAAAAATAGCTCGTGATATTTTTTTTTTAAAATGGACTTTAATATTTTTTATTTTTATATTTTTCTTGTGTATCCCAATCTCATCAGTTGTTTCCAAGGAGCCAAATTTTCTTTTGCTGAATACAAATCCAGATCCCACACGCTCATTCCATTACTAAACTCGAACATTTCTTATTAATAACGTGATACATGATTGATTGGGAGATTCGTATAATTGTGTGCTTTATGTTCCAGGATCAACTAATTGTAGTAATGAAAATTTTTACGCAAAAGCTTTTTATAATTAATTATAGAAGTTTTTATAATATCAAAATTGATTGATTAAGTTACTTTGCAATAATAAACATTTAATCTTCCATTTTATCTTTATCCTTCCTTATTGAGTGATCATTAAGAATAACTTCTGGTCTTCGCTTGAAAAAGCATAACTTCTGGTCTTCGCAAAGGAAAATAATAGATAATTAACATTCTAATAAAATAAACCCTATGATGGAGTCATTATTTTTATTAAACGTTAATAAGCATTTAAAAATAAAAATAAAACCGTTGTCTTTGTTTAAAGCGCTTTGCTTTGATAAAAGCAACAAGCGTAGTTCCTTGGTAAGAAGTAACAATTATGGAGCTTTGGTAAAAAGCCACGTTTTATTTGTTTTGGTGAGCGAACAAGGTTAGGATTAACTAGTGAGTATTAACAACGATTAGTGACATAATTTGCTTTAGTGAGTTGGGACTAACGTTGGTTAACTGGTGAGTGTTAATGAAGTATCGTCCAAAGGTTAATGGTGGTATTATTGTAATCGTAAACGTAAGGCTGTTAAATAAGCTACTTAAGTTGCTTTGCAAGCAAACCAAAGCGAGTTTGCAATAGACCAATAAATGTAAACGACTGAAATAAATCGAGGCCCTTGAGCTTTGCAAAAGGCCATCTTTATTTATTTACAGTTACCTGGCACCATTAAGTATGCCCACAGGTGCATTAATCGAGAACAAAAAGTAAATTCGTAAACTAATTAATTGACAAGTACCGAATTATTGTAGGTTGCTTGTAATTAAGTGACTGACTTATATTCAGCAAAGTGAAGTGAATGGAATGAGGGGATAAAAGCCAAACCAATCTAGGTCCTTTGAAAAAGAACAAAAAGAACATATTTATTCAATGGAAGCTTCCACTATGCCGAAAACACGAATCGTATTATAAATACTTTGTTGCTGTTTGAAATTTTTTTTAAAAAAATTTCCTACTAGTAACGTATATCTTTCAATAGAAGTCGGGAGGAGGTTATTTGAAAGTGATGTCGTAACCTATTATTTTTTCCTCTCATTAGACCCAAAAGTTATTTGAGATATATATCAAGGAACTTTAAGTATGGACGTATTCCCTTTAATTCAAGATTCTTCTTTAAACTATTCTGGGAAATAAGG